CTCATGAGATGCACGTAGGCTGAAGGGCGTTCCGTTGAAACATCTCACAATTCCGAAAACCTAAGGTCAGGTAGTCCGTCACAGAAAATGCCACAAAATGTACAAGTCAGAAAATCTCCAGAAGTTCTCCGATCTACGTAGAGACCTAAGGCATTTCCCCCCAATAAACCAATGAAATTCAACAGATCGTTGTTTGCCTGATTGGTTATTTTTAGATGTGGGTGGATCTAAAAATCACCCTCCCCCGGGGAGGTGGTGTCTGAATTCATGTGCTGTCACATCCATGTGTTAGGGTGGCTGTCTCCTGGGGGAGAGGAGGAAGGCTATGGAGACAGAGGGGTAGAACCCAAGGGAAGAATCAAGTTCAGTAGGTTTTAATTATTTTTTATATATATTTTATTGATTTTTTACAAAGAGGAAGGGAGAAGGATAGAGAGCCAGAAACATCGATGAGAGAGAAACATCAACTAGCTGCCTCCTGCACATTCCCTACTGGGGATGTGCCCACAACCAAGGTACATGCCCTTGACCAGAATCGAACCTGGGACCCCTCAGTCGGAAGGCCGACGCTCTATCCACTGAGCCAAACCAGTTAGGACAAGTAGGTGTTAATTCTTGCCAGGTTCACGCCGCTGCTCTTCTCCCCGCTGCTTGATCATGCTTAGCATGGCGCCCACTTTCCGTCGGTGTTCAGTAAATATTAATTCCATCCTGCTAGAGGAGCTAACTACCTTGTTCTTCCCGAAATAAGGCGCAGGGAGTGAAATGAAGCTCGTGGATGTCTAAAGATGCACGCCTCGATGAATAGCTTTAGGAAAAATGTGATAGTACCTGTGCGGGGAATGAGACAAGTAAATATTGCTTAGCATGGCTTTGGAGATTAATTTTTTGTTGTTTGAAGTCTTGTAAAACAACCACTCATTTGTTTTTTCTCCCTCTCAACAAAGAGCTTGTGAGGCACTGATTACACAAAATGCACCAGAATGTCTCTGCCTTTTCGCTCCTTTCCTGACTGCTTCTCCTTTATGCCACTGAGCAATACAATTATATTAATACATGAGTGATTTCCCCACCTCCACCTTCTCCTGTCCGCGTGGCTGAGGTAAAGAGAACAGAAGCTGCCGGCTTCCAAGAAATTGGAACATATGAAATAGAGATCCAACAGCTGGTTATGATGATGTCAACATTAAACCAAACGTCCCTACAGATTATATAGATGGCTATACAATGTGACTTATTAATTTCCAAATTGTGGAATTCTGATATATGTGTTTATATACATGTTTAAGAAGAATATAATAAAGTATTTTTTTTTAATTTTTCAGTTGCAGTGGGCATACAAGATCATATCAGTTTTAGTATACAACATAATGATTATACAAGACGATGATTTTTACATGCAATGTCAACGTAAACTCCTCCATTACTATTTTTCCTGCATAGAGGCCAACAGAGGCTTCCCTAAATGGAGTAGAAATTCCAGGATCCTTACAGAATCTCGGCATTGGAAGAGATTTGTGGAATTGTCTGATTTTCCAAATGCGTGCTCACTTATTCTGATATTCCATGTGAATGGGTTTTTAGCTACCGCTTGGAAACGTCTCCTGACAGAAAGAAGGCTCACTATTTCATGAAGCAGACCCATTGCTAATGGTTTGTCCGCGTTTACCAAGATGCCCCTTACACTCACCCTTACATTTCACCTGCTTATTTTGCTCCCTGTAGAGAGACTTCAGGCTGCAGTATGAGGCACACAGACCTAGATTCATTCTGGGCTCCACTACGTAGTATCATATGCCTTCCAAGTGCCACCTATTAAGTTCTTCCTGTGTACTAACCACTTTATGTGCACTCGTTTAATTTTCATAAAAAGTCTATACTTTTATGGGTCCTATTTTTGCTGTATCTTGCTATGTAGACATGGAGGCTTGCGGGTAATAGGTGTGAGAATGACAATGCTGATAGTATTCCGGAAAGCCAGCTCTGTGCCAGGTGCTGCGCTAGGCCCTTTATATACAGCGTAAACATGCCCAGAATGTTAGCGACTTGCCTATTATCTGTGAGAAAGCTGCATGTTCAAAATCAGGTCAGGTAGGAAAAGGACTCTGAATTTTACTCTTTTAGCCTTTCTTTGTCTGGTGAACGGGAGTACTATTCTCTTCCTCACATGGTTTCCTGAAATTAAGAAAGTTGGCCTATGCCGAAACCGGTTTGGCTCAGTGGATAGAGCGTCGGCCTGCCGACTGAAAGGTCCCAGGTTTGATTCCGGTCAAGGGCATGTACCTTAGTTGCGGGCACATCCCCAACGGGAGGTGTGCAAGAGGTAGCTGATCAATGATTCTCTCTCATCGATGTTTCTACCTCTCTACCCTCTCACTTCCTCTCTGTAAAAAATCAATAAAATATATTTTAAAAAAAATAAAGGCGAGAGAAGGAAGTCAGGTGGCCTGCCTGTGCTGGACCCTTCCCCTCACTGTCCGCTTTCTGCCTTCTCCCGCAGAGCTGCCCAGAAGCTGAACCTGTCGTCTAAGAAGAAGAAGCACCGGCCGTCGGTGTCTGCGGCCGAGCCCCCGCTCTTCGGCACCAGCTTCAGCGGCATCCTGCAGACCTCCCCGCCGCCCGCCCCGCCCTGCCTGCTGCGGGCCGTGGGCAAGGTCAAGGACACGCCGGGCCTGGGCAAGGTAGGCCACCCCGCCGTCTCCGTCTCCCCTGGCTCAGGGTGAGGGGCTCTGTCCTGGGGGAAGGAGAAAACCAGGGCTCCGGGTTATTTGTATAAAAAAGGAGGTGAGCCCAGCCGGTGTGGCTCAGTGGTTGACCGTTGACCTATGAACCAGGAGGTCATGGTTCCATTGCTGGTCAGGGCACAGGCCCGGGTTGCAGGCTGGATCCCCAGTGTGGGGCGTCCAAGAGGCAGCCGGTCAATGATTCTCATCATTGATGTTTCTCTCTTCTCTTTCTCTCTCCCTCTGTTTTCCTCTCTGAAAAAGAAAAGAAAGCAAAAAGGAGGTGGCAGGGAGAAAAGGAGACAGAATGGAATTCATTGGAATTCCTGTAGAATTTTCTTTCTTTTTTTTTTCTTTTTTTAATATATTTTTATTGATTTTGTACAGAGAGAAAGGGAGAGAGATAGAAAGTTAGAAACATCGATGAGAGAGAGTCATCGATCAGCTGCCTCTTGCACACCCCCTCCTGGGGATATGCCCGCAACCAAGGTACATGCCCCTGACCAGAATCGAACCCCGGACCTTTCAGTCCCCAAGCCGACGCTCTATCCATTGAGCCAAACCGGTTTCGGCTCCTGTAGAATTTTCTTTGGTGACATGAACTAAACAGTGAATTCAGACATTCCAATTATTGGAGATCTTCATTTGATTTTGGCACAAAAAAGGGGGTTTCCTTTGTCGGACAGAATTGTCACCCTTGAAAGAAAAGACACAGGAGGCAGGCGGAGGCTGGAGGCCGAGAGCAGACACGGGGGGAACGAGACGTAAGGATGCTTCGTGGCTGCAGGGATGTGGCCCTTGTTTTCTCCGCCTCAGAGACGCCACGGCTCCTGCTCTGGGCCTGACTCCGGGCGGGGTTCTGGGGAGCGGCTCCAGCTGTCCTGTTGTAGCCAGGAAACAGATTAGGATTGTGACAGACGTAGAAAGAGGGCCAGGAGCCAGAACCAGTGTGGCTCAGTGGATATAGTGTCAGCCTGCGGACTGAAGGGTCTCGGGTTCGATTCCGGTCAAGGGCATGTTCCTTGGTTGCAGGCACATCCCCAGTGGTGGTGGTGGTGGGGGGGGGGGGAGTGTAGGAGGCAGCTGATCGATGATTCTCTCTCATCGATGTTTCTAACTATTCCTCGCCCTTCCTCTCTATAAAAAAAATCAATAAAATATATATATATTTTTTTTTAAAAAAGAAAGAAAGAAAGAGGGGCAAGAGCACTGCTTGGAGGTACTGCTCAGCTGCATTTGGGATAACGGTTTCTCAATGGCATCTTGACGCTGTCTCGTCCGATAAACGTCTGGGTGAAGCAGCTGTGGTTTAGTCTTCAGCTGGTAAAGAAGCCGAGATGGGGAGAACTTAGCGAGAGGGCGCGGTGGCTGTGTCACTTCTTGGCTTCCGGCGGGAGCGGCCAGTCAGTGCCAGGTCCCGAGGCACCGGCCTCGTTTGGTTTGGAAACTTGCAGGTCTGGCCGAGGGGAGCTGGGGCCACGTGTTTCGGTCACTGGCGCTCCGTCCCCGGGGCCCTCAGACACGGTTGTCCCAGGTTCATGGTTGTCTGTGGCCTCAGCCAAGAGGAGGCAGTCCTTCGGGGGTACACGGGGGTCCCTCTGCCTGCTCCCTTCATGCTGTTGTCTTTTCTCCGTGTCTCCCTTCTCCTCCCATGGGCCCCGCCCCCAGTGTCACCACCCCATCGGGAAGCCGGTACCTTGCTGTCTCCTTTCCAACTGGGTCTCAGTTCTAAGATTGTGTCGAAGAGATTGCGCTAATGTAGGGGTGTCGAACTCAATCAGAGAAGGGGCCAAAATCTAAAATCCAGCCTAAATCGCGGGCCGAATGGTTTACTGAACAGTCATAAACTGTCATTGTGATGGAAACGCAGCGGAGTGCAGTGATGACAGCGCGGTGCGGGCCACATTGCAAGGCCTGGTGGGACGGATTTGGCCCGCGGGCCTTGTGTTTGACACATGTGCGCTAATGGATGGCTCCAGAGCCTTCTGTCCCACCTTCCCCCCGTCTCTAACACCCCTCCCCTCCTCCCTGGAATTCTAACAAGGGGATCGGGGTGCTGGGTCCAGGCCGAGCCAGCAGGCTGGGTGTGGCAGCAGGACGAGGACCCAGCATTTGCCCCAAAGGGCACCGGAGGGCACTGGTCCCATCTGATTTCAGGATGTCCCACCCACAGACAGTGACCGGACACGGTGTCATTGCTAGTAAAGATCAGCAGGTGTGAATCCAGGCACATGTACAATGAATGTGACAACCGTCCGTACAAAATATATTTAAAAAAAAAAAACACAAAACAAAACTCAGGGTTTTTTATTATTTATTTATTTATTCACGCAAGGATATTCTCCCATTGATTTTCAGAGAGAGTGGAAGAGAGAGGGTAAGACAGAGAGAATCACTGATGTGAAAGAGACACATGGATTGGTTGTCTCCTGCAGGAGCCCCAGCCAGGGCCTGGGCTGGGGAGGAGCCTGCAACGGGGGGTGGGCGTGCCCTTGACTGGAATTGAACTCAGGAATCTTCACAGGCAGACGCTCTACCCACTGAGCCACACCGGCCAGGGCTGACTCTGCTTTTTAGACGTTAAGTGGCGATGGTAGGCGTGTGTGTGGGGGGAGGGGGGGCACATGTGCAGAGAGAGGGATGAGGAGGTGATTTTTCTAAGGGGCCTTATAAAGACTAGGAACCTTTATCATAATTGGAGGTTAGGTCTGGGGCCTCCCAGAACACCTGTAATCCCTAATTAGCATCCTGAATTATGGAATGAAAACATGAGATAAAATGAGGGAATCCTCTCTGGGATAAATGCCACTTTCTCAATTAACCAAAGGGCAATAAGATGGATTATAATGCCAGAATAGGGCGTTTGATCATCCTTTGTCCAAAAACACCACCCCACGTTTTAGTCAGCTCGGCGCAATTAGACAATTACTGATACCAAGAGAAGAGGAATAGGAGGTGTGTTTTAAGCTAACACTTCTAGCATCTTATCTCTCTGTGTCTTTCTCTTGCTAATGGCTGAAAGGGAAGTGAATCACGATTTGCTGTAATTATCCCATTAAAATGGGATTGATAGTCATTTTTGTAAAGAATGGTGAGTCCAAACTGCTGAGTTAATTAGGAAGTTTTCCTTTGTGCTCCTCTCGCCTAATGAACGGCTTGTATAACAAAACATCTGAATTCCTTTCTCGTGCTTCATGGAACCGAACTACATCATTATTATGGAGGAGGAGTCCTTCTGATACCTTATTAAAAGCAGAATATAATTTTCTTTAGGCTGGTAAACGGTTTCTGATTTAAAAATCCTCTAGCCAGGCAGATCCGTGATAAAAGACCCCCTGCGTTCTCTCGAATTGCTCTACAAGTCCTCCAGTTCTGTTCTGTACCACGGTCTCAGTCTGCTCCAGCTGCTGTAACAAAAATACCATCGATCGTGTGTCTGAAGCAACAGAAACATATCTCTCACAGTTCAGGAGACTGGGACATAGAAGGGCCAGGCGATGGCAGATCTGGTGCCTGGTGAGGGGTCTCTTCCTGGTTGAACCATGGTCATCTTCTTGCTGCCCCTCACATAGGAGAGAGGAGAGATGGGGAGGGGAAAGAGAGAGAGAGAAAGAGAAAGCCAGCTCTCCCGTCTCTTCTCTTCTTATCAGGGCACTAATCCCAGTGTGGGGGCACCACCCTCCTGACCTAATTATTTCCCGAAGTCCTCACCTCCTAATGCCATCACCTGGGGGTTAGAATTTCCACATATACCTTTGGGAGAGGCACAGTCACGCAGTCCACATTGGGGTTAGAGTAGGTGGCTTTCCAGATAAAAGAGCCAGAAATAGAACCATTAGTAGCCGTTAGTACCAGGGACAAAAGTCCTTCCCCCTGTTCCCTTGGTCCGCTCAGTGCCCTATACCCATGGTCGGCAAACTCATTCGCCCACAGAGCCAAATGTCAACAGGACGACGATTGAAATTTCTTTGGAGAGCCACATTTTTTAAACTTAAACTTCTTCTAACACCACTTCTTCAACATAGACTCACCCAGGCCGTGGTGTTTTGTGGAAGAGTCACACTCAAGGGGCCAAAGAGCCGCATGTGGCTCTCGAGCCGCAGTTTGCCCACCACGGCCCTAGACCACAGACAGAAGTTTCGTCCACCTGTAGTTCGGTTGAGATCTCTTTGCCGCCAACAGCGAGCCCTTGGTGGATCCTTTGGTGGGCACTCCACCAGCTGTAGCTCACCAGGGATTTTTTTTCTTGCTGAAGCAAGCCGGTGATGGTAAATCTGGCCTCTGTTTCCTGGTGCCAGCTTCCTAGGCTGGCAAGTTCTGTTCTCTTCTTTGGGAGTGTGAGCTCTCAGAGGCCTGCCACCTGCTGTGGGCAGAGGTGCGCTTCTCTGCCCATCCCCGGTGGCCCAGCTGACCTCCAGGGCCCTGCAGCACATGCTCAGCACCCCCTGCCACCGCCCCTGCCAACCCACACACCTACCCCTAGGACACAGCTGCCTGCCCTGCATTTGAGACCGTGTCTGTGTCTGGAGACCTGTAGTAGTTCAGTTGGGGAGGAAGGCAGAGGATTGAGACTATGCAGTGAGCTTGGTTCAACTGGCACTGACGGAGTAGCTGCTGGGCGTCAGGCACGGTCCTAGAAAGGCTGGGGGGAGGAGGGAGGAGAGAGAGAGAGAGAGAGAGAGAAAACAATTGTGGAGAGCTGGCAAATCCAAACTCCGCAGGGTAAGCCAGAACATGGGGTCTCAGGGGAGGGTTACAGTTCAAGTACAAAGGCAGCTGCTGACACAGTTTCCGTCTTTCGTTTTTTTTACTAAGACGAGGCCCACCACATTATGGAGGGCAATCTGCTTCCCTCAAAGTCTGTTGCTTTCAATGTTCATTTTATCTTAAAAAAAAAAAAAAAAAAAAAAAAAAAAAAAAAAAGCCACCTTTACAGAAACATCTAGAATTATACTGGA